TTCCAGCAGCTCTTCCCACCAAACATGGCAGAAGCGGCAGCACTGACTGAACTCCCCATTCCCTGCCCCTGCGCTGCTGAGGGGAGGAGGTAGAGATACTGGGAGCAGAGCTGAGCCCAGGAAGAAGGGAGGGGTGGGGGGAAGGTGTTCTCAAGATGTGGCAATGCTTCTCACTGTCCTACTCTGTTAAGTGTTGTTAGTGTCTGTAATAAATGTATGTTCTTTTTTTTTTTTTTCTTCCCCTAACGAGTCTGCCTTTTGCTTGTGCCCATAAAGGGGGATTTTTTTCCCCATCCCAGTCCTATCTCGAACCCCAAGCCTGGCTCTCTGTCTTTTCTTATGGCTGGAAGAGAAGGGAGAGAGAGTGTCTGTATGGTGGTTGGCTGCTGACCAGGCTCAAACCATGACAAAGGTAAACAGGATTGTTAAGAAATTGCAAAGCAGTTAGTTCCCTATATCAGTAGCCTTACTTATGACTTAATTACAGCTGATGACCAAACTCTTGGGAGAGGACAATAAGTCACTACACAGCATTAGTCAAGCAGAGCCCATTACTATGGTGTCCTCTCTGCACTTAAAATGTAATGTAATGACCCTTGCTAATTAAGACCTGCTAGATAATTAGAACTGGTAACTCCAGATGGTATTTTCCTGGCAGAATGTTGAAGGACTTTCCTTTCAGGTTGGTACACCAGTAGTCATTGTGACTGTGCTAGAGTTCAGTGATCTCAGAATGGCCATGTGATTTCTCCTAATACAAAGGCATTCACTATTCTAAATCCTGATATGAAAAGTGAAACAAAATTCCATACATCTTTCTTGTTTCAAACTATTTATATACATTCCATCACCACCTGTCTTTCCTTCTGCTTTGGAGTCTTGCCAAACTGGTAAATATTTTAGTGGAGGTGAAATTAGAGTAGCAGACTGTGCCTTTTAAGTCTCAGCCCTGTGCAAAGGGTTCTTGAGGCTAAAATGCTGATCAGATAAGACACCACCAATTAAAATTGTGATCTCTCACATGAGGTTCTGGGGAAAACACCTGTAGTGGTTTAAGCCCAGTGGGCAACTGAGCACTAAGCAGCTGCTTGCTTACTCCTTTGCCCTCAGGGTTGAGGAGGAGAAAAATACAATAAAAGCCTTGGCAATCGAGACAAGGACAGGAAGGGATGACTCACCAGTTATGGTCATGGGCAAAAGACAGACTCAATTAGAGAAGAAAAATAATATCGTTTTAATTTGAACATCACCACCACCACTTAATTTACCAATCAGAGTATGAGTGATAAACACAACCACATCTTAAAAACACCTTTCCCCCACCCCTCCCTTCTTCTCAGGCTCAGCTTCACTCCTGATTTGCTCTGCCTCCTCCTCCTGAGCAGGACAGGGGGACAGGGAATGGGGGTTGTGGTCTGTTCATCACCTGTTGTTTCTGCTGCTCCTTCCTTCTCAGAGGAGGGCTCCCCACACTCTTCCTCTGTGCCAGTGTGGGGTGTTTCTCAATGTGAGTCCTTCCCATGGGCTGCAGTTTTTCCCAAACTGTTCGAGCATGGGTCCCTGCTGTGGGCTGCAGTCCTCCCAGAATGCTCCAACGTGGGCTTCCCTCAGAGTCCTGGCCTTCTTCAGGTACAGCCACCTGCTTCAGTGTGGGGTCCTCCACAGACTGCAGGTTGGCATCTGCTCTACCATGGACCTTCGCTGGCTGCAGAGGGATGGCCTGCCTTCTCATCAGGGGCTGCAAGGGAGTCTCTGCTCCAATGCAACCCCCCTCCTCACCCCTTCTTCAGCCGACCTCAGTATTTACAGAAGTATCTCCCTCACAACTCCACCTCTCAGGTGCCCCTTCTTAAACACATTACTTCAGAGGTGTAGCCACTGTTGCTAATTGGCTCGGCCTTGGCCACAGACAGGTCCAGCTTGGGGCCAGGGGAGCTTTGAGAAGCTTCTCACAGAAGCCACCACTGTAACCCCTTCCCCTACTGCCATAAATGCTGCCACACACAAACCCAACCCAACACCATACAGACCACAGATCACAAAGACGCCTTGTTATCACAGAGCTGTTGATAAGGACTTCTGGAATGGAGGGACAACAGTCAATCACCCTATAGACAGACATGTGATCCTATCTACTTTGGGCGAATACTGGAACTTTTAGACCCTTATGAAATAGGGTTCACCAAAGTTTCACTCTCCTGAGGGCTGTGGAGCACGACCAACATGGCATCTGTAGTATTTTATATAGTAGCCTGTGTGCAGACCAGTACCATGGACAGTCTCAACTATAAGTAATAACCTAGAGCATTTTCTCTGCTTCACAGTTGTTACTGTTCCCTGATTGGTGATGAGTAACAATTGCCTTTTATTCCTCTAGTGAATTTTTAATCTGCAAGTCTGAAAAAGACAGCAAAACTGCACACAGATACTCTTCTGCCACATCTTGCTGTCGTATGGATGCAAACTGACATCTGCTAGAAAAATCTTGTAAACAAATGAAGTTTTACAGAAAAAGCCTGCAAAATTAAGTTTTCTCAGGCTGACTGATCAGCCTCTGCCACTCTCCAGCCACAGGACTGAAGAAGTTGATGCACTTCCCTGAGCTATGCCATTGACTAAGTAATCAATAGTCCCTCATCGAGTGAGGGCTGTATGAGTCTTCTGTGCTCCTTCCATTCCTTAGAAAGGAATGGATACCATCAAAAACTCTCAACAAGCACCTGTGTCGTGGTTTGAGCCCAGTCAGCAGCCCAACACCACGCAGCAGCTCACTCCTCCCTTCTCTTCCAGCGATGAGAAGTGACAGATGAGCCAGGCTTGGGATTCGAGACAGGACCAGGAGGGGCAGATCACCCATTATGGTCACAGGCAAAAGGCAGACTCGTTAGAGGAAGAAAAAAAGAACATAGTTTTATTACAGACACTAACAACACTTAACAGAGTAGGACAGTGAGAAGCATTGCCACATCTTGAGAATGCCTTCCACCCACTCCTCCCTTCTTCCTGGGCTCAGTTCTGCTCCCAATATCTCTACCTCCTCCCCCCACTCACTCAAACCCAGGACAACATAAAATGTAAAACTCCAATGAACATACAATAGTCCTATGTGGTGGAGATCTTTGCAAGGAAAAAACCCTCAACAATACATGATTTCATCATGCCAGAACACTTTCACAGCCAAAAATCTGGAGAGTAAGTGTAGAAAAAACAGGTCAATTTGCTGTTCTATATTACTGACTCTGAAGTAGACATTAAGGTTTCCTGTATCAAAAGAGTGCTCCCCAGAGAGAAGTGGAAAGATGGCCTGGGTTTGAGTGAGTGATGGAGTTTTGGTAGCAGGGGAGAGGGCTATAGAAGTGGCCCCCTGTGAGAAGCTTCTCGAAGCTCCCCCAGCTTCAAGTCAGCTCCACCTCTGCACCAAAACTGAGCCAATCGGCTGCACCTCTGTGATAACATATTTAAGAAGGGACGTGGTGAGGAGGAGTCAGACTTGTGAGGAGGAGTTGCTGCAGCTGCATGAACACCAAGGTCAGTGGAGGAACGGAGGAAGAAAGGAGGGGGGAGGTGTGCTGGAGCAGAGACCCCCCCTGTATCCTGTGGTGAGACAGCAGGGCGGCCCCCCCGCCACCCATGAAGCTGCGGTGGAGCAGACATTGATTTATGGCCTGTGTTTCGCATGGTTCATCAAGGTGTCTGTGCCCGAAGAAGGCCGGGGTCTTGTGGGAAAAGGTAGCCCCCACTGCTATAATTCAGCTCTGGGAGGATTGCAGCATGTGGGGGTGTCCCATGCTGGAGCAGCTCGGGAAGGGCTGCAGCCGTGGGAGGGAATCCAGTCGGAGAAAGTTAGGTGTCCCATGATGGAGCAGTGTGGGGAACGCTGTGGCCCGTGGGAGGGACTCACGTCGGTGAAAATTTGTGGAGGACTGTCTCCTGTGAGAGAGGGACCAGGATGGAGTAGGGGGAAGAAGTTCCAGAAGCTACCCCCACCAAACATGGAAGAAACGGCAGCACTGCCTGCACCCCCCATTCCCAGCCCCTGCGCCACTGGAGGAGGAGGTAGAGATATCAGGAGCAGAGCTGAGCCCAGGAAGAAAGGAGGGGTGGGGGAAGGTGTTTCTCAAGACTTGGCAATGCTTCTCACTGTCCTACTCTGTTAAGTGTTGTTGTTAGTGTCCGTAATAAATCTATGTTCTGTTTTTCTTCCTCTGACGAGTCTGCCTTTTGCCCATGACCATAATGGGTGATCTGCCTCTCCCGCTCCTATCTCGAACCCCAAGCCTGGCCCTCTGTCCCTTCTTATTGCTGGAAAAGAAGGGAGGAGTGAGTAGCTGTGTGTTGTTTGACTGCCAGCCATGCTCAAACCATGACAGTACCCTTGTGCACAAGGTCTCTCTTACTTTGCATAGTCACTTGGCATGGAAGACCAAAGACTTCCCTTTTACGATAGAGCATTGCTGCAGGGAGTTTTCCCTTCTTATTGAAAAGGGAAGGGCTTGAGGTCTTGACCTTTTCTTCTTTTGTAATCTTTCCAGAAATAAGATAAGAACATATATACATGGTTTTCAATTCTACCACAAAAGGTGGTTCAGGGATGAGAACTCCCATTAAAGGCCAAAGTACGCATGCAAAGTACAAATAGAAGTATTACAGTAGCAGAGAACAGCACATTGTTACCCAGCTTGGAACTAAAGACTTGCATAGACATGCTATAGTGTGCATTGCTTTTACCAAGGAGAAGGGTCTGAGTAGCCTCATACATGTGAGCTGAATGGACTCTGGAAATTTAAAACCTTAATCAGGCTCAGATGATGCACTCAGGTACTCCAAAATGAACTAGTCAGTTTTTAACAGTGATGCAAATTTCTGACACCAAAATTTAAAAAAGCAACATACTGCAGGGGAAAGAATAAAGCTATACAGAGAGCTCTACCATGCTTCTGCAGAATCAAATGTTTAAAAAAAAAAAAAAACAACCACAAACCAAACAGATGGAAATGTAGTAATGTAAAAGAAATAGTCCTTTAATGCTTAAGCTAGCAAAAGGTTGGTTTTGAATGTTAACGCCAAAGGGATACCTACACACATACATCAGTTGTCAAAGTACCTTGAACCTCTGCTCCTTAAAGTTTCTAAGAAGCCATCTATGCTTAAAAATGTTAAGGATTTTTATTCCTTTGGAATTTATCAGAAACAGGTGTTTCATACATTTATTTTTCCTCTACACAATGGATGCTTAACAGCAAGGAGAGTCAGGGAGTCAGTATCTACTGCTAAGATAATTATCTAGTTCTTCTAGGAAAATCAAATTAATGGTGCTTTCTATGTCCTGTTTCTATACTTGCAGTAAGAATCTATCCTTTAGAGAATCAGGTTTCATAAATTTTATTAAGTATAAAAATACATAAGCTTACAGCATATTAAGTAAACTGTACAGAAGATACAGTAGCAGAGAGGGAAATGTGTCCATACAAAAGCCAAAAACAAAGTTACAAACAATTCATACTACTGAGATGTGCAGTGGTAGATTCTGAGAGGTGCCTGTGAAAGGTGCCAGCAGTAGATTCTGATTAAGACTTTACATTCTGGTTAAAAAGAAACAAAATCAAAACAAGAGCAGTAATTTTGTTCTGGTGTCTGTTGTCTAAATTTAAAAATCATATCCCAGAACACAAAAAATAACTGACTACCTGACTTCAAATATCACACAGGAACCATTTTCAAGAAGCACTGAAAAATTATGTACATTTGAAAATGTGAATACTTATTACCCAGTAAACATTGGCTGATGTTAATCTATGTTATATTATGACATAAAAATCCCCACAGTATTTTACAAAACCTAGATCAAAGCCTGAGCTGGTTCAAAAGTCAGTTTAGTTTAACTGACATACAGACCAATAGTTCAGCCCAATAACCAAAGCATGTTGCCAGCATTACAAATGTGACCTTTTTATTGCTTAAATTACTTTAATTTCAGAATATAACATTTGCCAGTACATGAAGAAGGGTGGTTGTGACCTTGATTCTTTAACCCGTTACCATTGGGTTAGTATTAGTCCTTGGAAGTGACATTTATTTTGCTTTCATTTACTTAGTCAACTGACTGCTCCACATGGCAAAGAACCTGCAGATACCAACAAACACAAGAACAGTCAGCTATAGAAGCAGACAAACAGTACTGGGCATCCAAGAGAGCATAGCCCCTAAATAAGCATATTTTAAAAAAACCATGATTATTCTGTCTGGGTTACAGTTTTGCTTAATTAGAAGACTATTGCTCCAGATAACAAAAATATTAGAAAGATGATGACTAGGCTGTTACAGAAAAAGAGTTCGTAAAGGTAAAATGAAAGAGGACAACGGAAGAAAGGAGAACTACTACTCACCTGTCAGAAAACTTATAGCCATCAAATTAAACTTAGAGTACAACGAAAGAACATAAAGTTAGAAGCTTAAATAATGCCATCATAATATCCAAATCAAAGTTCTCATACCCGAGCCTGAAGATTCATGCATCAGACAACTGAGTTTTATAAATGCTCTGCAAAAATAGCCCAGATTTAAAGACAATTCAGTTTTTATTTGCAGCCTCTGTTCAGATGGTCCAACTCAAGTTTAGTTGTATATCCTAAGGATCTGCAATTTATTCAAATATTGTGTCTAATTACAGAATTAAGGGGCAACTTCATTTAGCTATTGGCTGCTAAGAACTTTTGAACAGACTGCAAAGTTTTTTTTTATCATTGCATATTTGAATCAGTTATATTTACTACTGAACTCTTAAAAACACTCAAATACTTCAATACTTTTATTAGGAAATACCATCATAAACTAAATATCCAAGACATAAATGGTCTTTTTTTCTCTTTTCTTAAACACAAAGGTATATACAGAGTATGTAAGAAGATACTACTTCCACATAGCACTGAAGAAAGAAGTACACATTCATGAGGTGGGGTTACATTTTCTTCAATGCATTTGAACGGGAGCTCCCCATACACAAATTTTACTGCTAATTTACTGAGGAAGAAAAATCAAATAGAATCTGTCCTACTGGTCTAACAAGAATACAGACTCATTTTAGATCATTTTACTGTATCCAACATTAGCCAAATCTACAACTGATTAACTACTGTTAAGCTGGGATGTGACAACTATATTGCCATGATTCATATGTCTAAGTCCTACTTAGAGCTATTGCTGGTATGCATATTCAGGCAGCATAGTGAAGTTTCATCTGGGACTGTGAGCAGTTATATAGACAGAACTTTGTCTACCTTTCTTTCTCTAGACTATTTACAAGACGACTGTATAACTACTACTGATTTTTTCAGAGTTTTTTTGTAATAAAAAAGAAAATTCTTACTGATGTAAGAGGGGTCTCTGGGCAGTTTCATGGATAACTGAACAAGCAGCAGCCTGAAAGACATTTACATTTGATCTTCCTACTAAAAGACTTGGGGAAAGATGTGCTCTGTCACGCATCTGCACTAAATACACACGTAAATTACAAAATACACAAACTACTCTCCAGAAAGGAAAGCATAACTTTTCTCAGTTAGCAGTCTTACATGTTTAAAAACCCACTAGTTATTTTTAAGTAGCAGTATTTCAAGTTGTCCATACCCTCTACATTTGTGCTGTCACTGTGGTTCCATCTTTAATTCCACTCTGGCTCGTTACTTTAACAGGTTAACTGAACTCTTGTCTTACTAATGTTTCTAGAGGAGCACAAATGATTTGATTATAAAGAAAAAAATGAAATCGAGTTGTTCCACGGCTGTCTTGTCACAGATGTTTGGAATCATGTATAATACATTGCAAGGAGTATGTGTAAGCAAAGCCTTTAAGAAAATGCAAATATATTGTTTAATTCTTTAATATATTTGTGTCAATAAAACAAAGGAAGTTCATAAACATTTCCTTGCACTTAAAACCAGTTTCACTGCTAAACGCAGGAAGTACCCATCCTTTTAGATGGCACCATACCAGAGCTTCAGAATAGCAAAATTTTCATCTTCACTTTTCTGGTAATTACAGACTTTCAGCCTTCTTTTTATAACTATCTAGAATTCTGCTTAAGACTGACAATAGATCTTCAGACATGAATTCTTCATAGTCTCTGTCAATTTTCACATTCTGTTCATCAAGATATTTCTAGAAAAAAATTACAGAAAGTTTATTAGAACTATCATGCTCTCTCTTGTACTCACTCTGCTAAAGCATGTTAAGCAATCATTGCACAGGTTAAGTGATTTCAGTTAAATGCTTCTCTGAAAGACATCTACCAGAAGCACATTAAACCTGATGGGGTGTTACTGCTGAAATTTAATGATCAATTCTGATTATTTATACCAAAGGTTTTGTCCAAAAAATGTATTTAACTATAATACAGTCAGTGCAGCATCCTTAAATAATTAATACATCGGAAAGAGTAAGTTCTAATTTCCATGTGTTTAACTGCAGTTGCAAATGTCCTTAGAAAGATTTAATTCTGAATATAAAATTTTAGCTTACTTCTATTGATACAACATGAGTAGCAATCACTTCTAAAAGACGATTCAAGTTATCACCAGCTTTCCTGCTTTCTTCTGTTGTTGTCTGCATAACAACTTGGTATCTAAAAAAGACACCCAAAGTCATGTCTTTAGTTACAAAATTTGACATGTAAAAGAATCACATCACCAAGTCTGATGTATTGTCATGTTTAGCCATAATTTTTTCTGTTAGTATTAACTTGAACCAAGTTAGATTTGTATGTTAATACTCAATTTAGAAGAAGGATGTGCTAACCAGTAAGAAACAAAATACCTTAAGAGTCAGAATAGTCTTTACAGACTTCTGGCTGTAAAAATTTAGTTGTCATGTAAGTTTGGAAACAAACTAAATTTCTTTACTACAACCATACATATATATGAAAAAAAATTACCTGGAAAACAGGCGTTCTGATACAGCAGACAAATTTTCTAGCAAAATATTAAATGTCGAGGAAAAACATCTTTCAATTGCAATTTTGTAAAATTAATATACTGAGATGGATAGCCGCTCACCAAAGAATTTTGTTAGGATTCAAGAAAACGTCTTTATCCTCAAAACACATACAAACCGAAATAAATGACACAAACAAAGTATGGGCCTTACTGTCTTTGAAGATCATGTAATTCATTTGTGGCTTCACTGAGGCCTTCATTGACACCACTCTCAAGTAATTGTTTATGCTTTTCTAACAATTCCAGTTCATTTGCACATTTTTGCTCTTCTTCTTCTGCCTCCTATAAACGTAAGGAAAGAAGGAAAAATAAAAGTAAATTGCATAACTCAGGAAGTAATTAGGTTTTTTCTCCTTTAAATTACCTGATTACATCCTGATACTCAAATTCAGAATTCACACAAGTAACTCCAAACTCAGAACTTAAAAACCCCAAGGACATCCCCCCAAACAAAGTTTCAGGTATTTTCTGTATCATCTTCCACCCAAACCCAGCCTAATCTTCCCTTTATTTCTCTAACTGTATTTCAATGTCTGTTTTGCAATGGTTTTCCCTTAGAAGTTCATCTCAAGAAGTGTTATCGACCTAATTTAAGTATCTTAGAAATGGAACATCATGAACTATTTCTAGGTTAAAAAAACAAAATCACATTTGACTGAGAAAATTGCTTTTCCCTTTTGTGTCTGAAAGATGAGTACAAAATGTAAGTAATCATCTCCAAAGAGAATGACAGTGTTGACACTATACTTAGCACAATAGCAGACTAAATTCTACCATCAACTAAACATACAATTCTGGTAAACTACAGAAACACCATCCTTCAAAAATAATTTTAATACTGAAGTCTTATGGACAGCATCTTCAAAATTACATGAGGAATTACATGACTGTCTTTTTATAAACTATCCAGCTGCAACTGAGTATTTTATGAGCTCCCTTTGAGAAAAAAGCATATGCAACAGCATAGATCAAACAGCATAGGAGTTTTTGGAAGCAATAAACTAAATTAATTGCCTTCGGCCACCTAAGCAGGTATTCACATTGAAATAACCCAGTTTCACAGTTACAGCACAGAAGTTTGGATTTGTAAGAGCAGATATGTTAAACACTAGCTTAATTCAAAGAGCATTTTTTGCCTGGGCACCCCAGCCCCAGCAAAGCCATGCTGTTAGAGAAACTGGGACATACTGAAGCAGCTGCTTAGTCGTTAACTGAGAGGGCTATGTTTTGTTGCTAAATTAGAAGTGACCAAAAGGATAGGGACTGCTCCCCCACTGGGAAAGAAAAACAAAGCAAGCAACAATTTTATATCATTAAAACATTCAATATCCTTTTAGTTAAAAACTAAAGAAAACATTATTTCATGTGATTAAACATGTTTCCTAAAGCCTGTAAGTATATTTATTATATAAAAACTGAATAGACAAGGCATATTCTGTTAATGCTAAAATCTCCATCAAGCACATGCTTTAAGACATCCTGAGGTCTGGAGATGATTGCCATTGGTTTTACTGCTGGATGTAGTAGCTTATGATTTACAGGGTCTGCCAAATTATGATGCCAAATTCTCTTACAAGAAAGTGAAAGCTGATTCGCTTAAGGCAGCACTCAAATATTTCTGAAAAGAAAGACAGAATCCTGCAAGAGGAGTAGGAAGAGGCAAGGGCAGAGGTCCAACCAAACTAAAGTACAAACCAAAAAATTAATTATAAATACAGAGATTAGGGATAAGGATATCATTAAGGATAAATTGTCACCAGCCTATAAGAAGTTCTACCTTAAGCTTTTGATGGTAAAGATCATCCAGCTTTTCAGCTTCTTCTTTCAGTGTTTTCACACTGCTTTTCTTGTCCACTACCATTACATTCACCTAGAATGAAAACACGACCAAGGAAATAGAATTCAAAAAGAATTCCAACATATAAATCCATGCTGTCACAAACAACACATGATAGCCCAGAAATATTTAAACTGGGCCAGGCTGGGATGGCATTAATTTTCTTCATAGCAGCCTTTATGGTTCTTTGGTTTGGATAGGTGGCTAAACCAGTGTTGGTAACACACCAATGTTTCGGCTGTTGCTGCATAGCGCTTGCACTGCATCAAGGCTTCTGCTCCCTCCCAGGGCCCCTCAGTGAGTAGGGTAGGGGCAGGCAAGAGGTTAGGAAGGCGCATAGCCAGGACAGCTAACCACAATTGGCCAGAAGGATATTCTGTACCATATACTGTCATGCTCAGCTATAAAAGCTGAGGTAGGGGAAGAAGAAGGGGGAAATTTAACATTCTCCTCCTAATCCATTCTCAGCCCAGTGTTGTCAGTGATGGTAAGCCACACAACAGACTGGAATCGGCAACTTATTAAAAACAAGTCTTTCCAATGTTTATTGTCAAATATATGTAAGCTGCATAATCTTCAATGCAGGAAATACACATTTCAACCAATGGTAGGAGACCCTAATTCTCAAACAACTTTTAGGTTACATCATAATTAAAGCAATCTTCTCACAGCTTCTCCCCCACCTGCCAAAAACCCCAACAAAACCAACCCAGACAAAAAAACAGCCCATGAAACTACACTTCAACCCTGCAAAAGATCAAATGATACCAGCAGATATTATAGTATCTTAGTCCTAATCTTCATTAGCCAACACACCTGTTCCAAAGTATCTTCCAATGTCATTTTCCGCTGAGTAACTTTCCTAATTTCTTCCTCAGTCTGGTTTATGATCTCCATAAGGGGAGCCTGTAATACACATACAAGAAGATCTGGCTAACGCAATTTGTTACTTTGAACTAACCCCAGTACACCTATCCCCTCTCCTGTTTTTTATTTAAGCTGGTGTACCCTCCAATACAAAATTTCCTTTCTATACTATAATGTAGATACAGCAATGAATCACACAAGGTTTTCAGTGAAGTTTCACAGAGAGGTTGAGAGACCTATCAACAGTTCCAAAGAAACACATTTTTTTTGTGAGTGGTAACAGAAACGTTCAGTGTTAACTTTACTTACCTTGATCTGAGTTCTGTATTTGACTAGGCAATTTGGTCCTGTCTCAGGATTAAAATGAATCTCAAAGTTGTGGCCTTTGGAATTCTCAGCACTTACTGGAATTAATTTCAGCTTTCGAGCCATTTTGTGATACTCTGCCAGTTGCATTTCGATCTGTTCCAAGGAGAAAAGGGCAAAAATCATAGAAGAAACAAGTGAAAAGCTTTGCAAAAAGTATTCATATAGTACTTCAAACGGGTTTCTCAGTTGCTCTGTACAAACGTGATTCCATGTCACGTCACAGTATGCAAGAGCTGTATGTACAGCAGCCTGCATTGTTTGAATTAAGTGCTGTTTTATGATTCCTTGTTTGCCCTGCAAGGTTTCTCAGTGTGTATGACAGACTGAATGGTTTCACCTGTGGTTTTCCCTACTCATCTGTCATATATTTTTTTGCCTCAAGGTTTTGAGGATTAGTTGATAGGAAAAGACAAACATGCTTGGAAATAATATAAATAACTAAAATAACAATCAGTCATCATGTTGATATGCCCTGTCATTGGTTTTGACAGGAAATGCCACACAGCCACACATCCTAATAACAAACTTTAACTTGAACATACCTCTAGACAAAGCTTATTAAATGCTCTATGTTCTGATTAATGAGTACCATTTATATACAAACACCAAACTATGTATTTTTCCAGTTTTATGTGTTTCATACTTGCACAGTATGAGAAATTTAAGTTTATCAAGTATGTGGTATTAAGCATAACCCTGCCAAATGCAAACCATATTTAAAATTTTTTTTTTTTTTAGTTCTCCATCTAGCAAAGCTGAAATTTAAGTCTCGCCACTTATAGGACCACATCTTTTAATTCTGTTTGAGGGAACTGAATCTGGCCCTTAAAAACTATTAGAACTTCCATATAAAGGACCAATCTGTCCCTAAATGCATGCAGTGATATTTATTCAGAGCACTAATTTTGCATTACTTCCTTGCTGTGAAATCTTAACACAAGCAATTTCAGGCTAATGGTATCAAAGCTCTTGATGCTATAACAGTGAGAGCTGACAGTGGTCATATTCTAGCTAAGTCTCTTATGATTCAGGAAAAAAAAATAAAAGAATGTATCCATTATGCTCAAAACATAAAAGGGGCAAAGAAACATTTTTTTCAGAGACATTATAAGCAAAAGCCATTCTTGTCGCTTTAGCCTGTTAAGACATACCTATGCTGTTATTAGATTATTTAGTAAAGAAGTTAGTATTAGTCCAAGTCCCAAGTTTAAGCTTGCATGACAAAAACCAATAGCCACCTCTCAGTGTAGTAGGGTTTTCACATACCGCCTCTTTATTCCTTGCATATTTTAGCTCTTCATTCCATAGCTGATGTTCTTCTGCTTCCACTTCCTTAGTCAACTTGTTAATGGTTTGCTGCAGCTCATTTCTCTCGTGATTTATTCTCTCAATGTCCGCAACTGAGTACTTTTGGTTATCAAAGATGTGCTGGAGACGGGCATTCTCCTGCTTCATTGCTTCTACTTCCATTTCTAAGTTCACAAAGCATTTGTGAAAAGGATGTAAAATACCAGCTGATATAGTTAAACCTAATCTATCTATATTTTTATGAATAAATAGTATCTGTATTTCATTAGTTTACAAACAGCTATCAGCCAAAAAATCTCTGTACTAGCAATCCATTTTGGAAAGTTTATTTGTAGCATCAACAGACATTAAGTATTTCAACTCTGTCCTTAAGCTAAGGATTACAATTATTTTAAACCTATTTCTAGCTTCACTATCCCATTTGTGACCAAGGCCTTCTTACCTGCTGTCTCAACTTCCTCATTAACACCTTCCATTTTTTGATCAAGGATGGCTATATGAGATTCTAGATTAGTCAAATAAGCCTGGTATTTCTGGACATCTGCTTGAAGAGATGATTTCAGATTTCTTAGTGATACTCTACGATCCTAGTAAATGGATGGAAAAAGCAACCACTATTATGTTAATCTAAAATAATGATCTGGCCTTCCAGGCAATATAATAATTGGTTAACTTCAATAGTATAAGAGTAAAGAATTTTAATAAATTTTTATCTTTGTGACAGCTGAATCCAGTTAAGCATCCTTAAAATAAAAGCAAAAAAGGCTGAAAACGCTGTTTGTACATTAATTCTTGAATTTCAGCTTTTAGTCTTTGATTTGCATTAGACATTGCATTAAGAAAGTTCTTACTACAGGTAATTCACAATTTAAGTATAATAATACACAAAGGGCAGATTAAGGGCAAAGAAAGTTGGGAATACAAGCAGCGCATTTTGCACAGTAGGCAGGAATCTTAATTTGAAAGCTACACAGCAAATAAACCATTTTTAAACTCATGATATATTAAAAGCAGAGTCCATCTTTTCAAACAAAGTATTTTCCCTAAAATATATTGTTACCACTGAATCCCACGCTCTTGTCTCCTAAGAAGTTATCATACCAACACTTTTGGAACAGATAATGTTGAAGCTCAAAAAAAAAAAAACCAGTTCAATTATTTTAATAATATTTCAGCCAATGCAAGGTCTCATTACTGGAAAATACTTGCACAATACCAAACAAATAGTGATTGAAGACTCCACAGTAAGTGCCTTGTATTATAGTGGTGTAGTTTGCAATAACCTGGCCTAATTAAAAATCTCATATAGTACTGAAAATAATTTTTGATTTGCTGTACTGAAACATTAGTATCATTTAATAATGACAATGGTTAATAGCAGAAAATTCAACTCTACCATATAAACAAGCATAGCTACAATTTACTAACCGGCTCAGTTTCCTTTTCTTTTTCTAGTCTGGCAATCTCTTCATGAAGTCTTTTGTTGTCAGCTGCTAAACTTTCTATCTGGAATTCATCTATATTAAATAAATCCTCTGGGGAAAAAAAAATGAGGGGGATGGTTACAAATTAATCTCACTCAATATCATCACCTAATCTGATTATCTGTATTTTAGCTTCAGCACAGTAAATACCCATTTATCTAGACAATTATTTTAAACTAAAAAAAAAACAAACCCCAAAAAAACAAAGACAAACACCCAAACAAACAAAAAAACCAACCAAAACCAAACAAGAAAGCAATCAGTAAAACCCATCAAAAAAACCTTTCATTACAAAGCAAATAGGCAAAAAACTCTAAACAAACAAGAAAAAAAAGCTTTTCAGTCCTCATGTCATAAAGAGAGTTCAAAAATCACTCCTGTGTGGTCAGTTTCCAAACTCTCACACTACAGCCCACATTATAGATTAGTGTTTGTTAGATAAGATTTCATCTGTTTCAGCTTCGCAAGGTAAGTCCAATTTGTATACTTCTTTCTCATCCACACACTTCATCGCCTCTTGAGACATCTTTTCTCCTACTTCCCCTCAGTCTTTGCCAAACAGTGGCATGATTACTTTTTCCTACTAGGATCTAATAACATTCTGGTAACTTAGGTTTTCTCCCCAACTGATGGCTCCAGCTTACAACAGAAGTGTCCTTAGTCTGGCTTTTCACAGGAGGCCACAGAAAGTGAGAACTATTTTTCCTCTTTGTTCTCATACTCTGTTTTTATTTCTGTAGGTGATTGTTGTGGTTTGAACCCAGCTGGCAGCCAGACACCACACAGCCGCTCCCCCACCCTCCGCCACCTGGGAATGGGGGAGAAAATTGGAGGGGTAACGGGAGACTCACAGGTTGAGATAAAAGCAGTTTAATAATGGTAATAAAACAGTGACAATAATAGAAAGTATAAACAGGCAATGCACAATGCAATTGGTCACCACTCGCTGACCAATACCCAGCCTGTTCCCAGCTGGCGATCCCGAAATATCAAGATCCAGCAAATGCAATCCCAGAAGCAAGAGCGAGCCCCTTCCCAACCACCTCTCCTCTATACACTGAGCATGACATTACATGATATGGAATATTTCATTGGCCAATTTGGGTCCAGTCTCTGGCCATGCTCCCTGTGCACAGGCAAGGGCACGAGGAGTTGGAGAGTCCTTGGAATTTCAGCAACAGTTGAAAACAGTGTTATCAGCGTTCTTCTCATAGCAAACCCCACACTGAATCCAAACCACAGCACTATTCTCACTACTGAGAAGAACCATTACCTCTATTCCAGCTCAAACCAGGGCAGTGATGAATGAGTCAAAAAATATTAATCATTTTCCATCTCCCTGAAGACAAACACAGGTACTGTTGAATCATATATGGGAACCTTCACAAGAGTTTGGAACACTTGCAGACTGTTTTCAGAGTGTTTAGAAGCTGACCTTTCTTACTTATTAGATGTGCATCCTCTGGTAATATTTTTCTTTTTTTAATTGTTAACTTTGTCAGACAGAAACAAGAATCATCTGCATAGATGGAATTTGCATCTGAAGAACAGCATACAGCTTTTCTGCCACAAAGCCATGGAGGACAATAGGGTTACACAGGTACAGCTGACAGCAGACCATGACCTGTCTGTCTGTACCAGTGACAATGCATAAAAAGAAGAGAATTAAGTCAAAGTAACTGAGCAGTACCTGGGAATTTCTGGTTCCCTTACCACAGATTACTTTCACTTATAAACTGAGCAAAACTGATGCTAAGAGAAGAGAAACCAGTAACAATTAAACACTTCATTAAAACATGAAAACTTACTTAATTTTGACTGTACTTCTGCATCCAATTCTTCAAAAGTATCTCTCCCTTTCATGAAGAGCTCATAACACTTCACAGAGTAGTCCATGAAAAGCTGAAAACAGTTTACAAAGTTTTCATTTCAATGATTCAAAGGGCTGTAATATATCTAGATAGTCTAAATCTACTCAACCAATGGAATTAATCAGACACCAAAAATATCTTTAACTGGTTTGATTGCACTTCTGTAAAAATCAACTTTTCCTCTCTTCAAATGGTAGAATGTCGACGGATTATATCTAGGCAGAAGGAGGCATCTAGAATTCACATTGAGAAAGGCTTAGAAATACTTGGTATGTTTTTCTAGGATACCTAACAAGGTTAGTAAATACAATATTTAAGAATTTATTATCTTAAAGCATATGATCCTCTCAAGCTAGTTTATGGAAACTGTAGGTCTGTTTAACAGACCTCCACAAGAAGTAGGACCTCTACACTTCAGAGATGCAGATGTCAGAAGTGATCTAAAGAAAGTTTACCCAAAAAGAGTTTACTGGAGACTTTAAATTACAGATCTTTCAGAAGAATACAGCAGTATTGTAAATTCTGTTTCAACATATATGCGTATGTATCAGTGTATAAGCACACATTTAGTTTAAAAGCACTTTTACTTGTCAACTGTCAGGTTTGTAACCTTTAGTCCAAAACTCTGATTGAATTCAATTTTTGCTATTTTCTAATTAAATGTTCTGGCATATCATACAACCCCTTCCAAACATTTGCTTTGAGTTAACACTAAGTTAAATCTGAATAGTAATAATAATCTGTGATAAATTAGAAAGAAAGCAAGGTGCTGGATTTAACTGACTGAATTACACTGTCACCTTGTTTTGTGGCTTGGAAATTAAACATTACAACCAATTTTTAGATGGTGAACTGAGTAGGTATCAGCAGAAGCCACCACATTTATACTTAAGTCACTGTTTACACTGTACTGCTGTTAACCTTAGAAGACTCAATTACTGAAGAGAAATACACCTGAGACCCTGCTAAGACAGTAAACAAACAGCATGACTCCCCTTCTCTGAAAAAGAGAGCAGAAACAGTAGCAACTCAGAGAATAAGTAATTTCAATTTAATACCCAGTCTTCACCAATGACTGGCCATGATGCCTGCTCAGGAAACTAGTTGATCAGGCTTTTTCTACGATGCTACTATACTTCCTAGAGAACTCTGAATATAAAACTGAACAGAATATATAAATACAGTTAAAATTGTTGTCACATATTTAAATTGTGTTCTTACATCATAAGGCAAGATTCAGTTGAACAATTCTGATAAATTATTTCATGTAGTACCTTATTATGTACAATTCCATCATCTGTCTCGCCTCCCCAGCTCTGTCCATCATCAAACGATGGTGCATTTTCCCTCATGGCAGCATACAACTGAAAGGCACAGGTATAATTTCATGTTTATGCTAAGAAGCAAAGTAACATTGGATTAGGATTTCAGCAAGCAGGGTGTAATGTTGCTGCTTCAGAATGTGACCAATCACATCACGGTAATGAGCCTGTGTTTAGTTGGTGAAAAGCACAGATGAAGAGGCATTAACTGGACATTCAACACTGCTAAATTATCTTGCTAAACCAAATGTGTCTTTTCAGCATAAAGGATGGGACTTTCATGTGTGCCCAATTCAGCAATGATGACCTTCTGTCACAGATTCCAAATTTTGCTCAGACCTGACCTAGCAGCAGACTTATCACTTAAAACACAAACCAAAAAACCAAAAACAAACAAAAAAACAACAAAAAAACACCAAACCCCCACCCAAACACAAATCCCCTCACTCTGTACAACAATCACAGGACACTCAAATAATGGCTATGGAAAATTCCATCCTTAGACTTCAAATTTAATAGAAGATGGTAGATGTTACAAGAAAATCTGCACTGAAGATTCATGATTATATCAATTAACTTTTCACTTTTTTATGTATGTATGCTGTCATTCTTCCCTCCTCTCATACACAAGTTTATCCAGTGCACACAGTTAAAAAAAAAAATATAATCACAATATTAAAAACTCAGTTTAAAAGTTACTAGAAGTAAGGCTAAGGGCTAGTTCCCAGATGGCAGGTAAGAACACCTACCTTTTTATTTACATAAATGTCAAACAAAGATTATTAGAAAGCATTTAAGAGATCTGTATTGAAACTGACATTTAATCCCGAAAAGTGGAAATATTTGGCTTAAAGAAGACAAATGCTACCTTGACACAATCAATTAACCAAACCAAAGCTGTCACAATCTGAGGCCAGGTGTGTGGTGCTCCCACTGTGTACATGGAGCTTTTTGACAAAGGAAAAGGGTACCTACAAAACAAAAGAAAATACATTTTTAAAGCTGTGGCAAACAGAGATGAAAACAAAATATCACATTTTTACATGTAGATCAAGGCATAGAATGCAGAGCAGATTCAATTGTACTTTACACTGTACATCAAAGGGAGATAGGCTGAGTTCTTACAGCACTACTTTATTCACTTATGGGTTTCTCATTTTGTGATTCATAGAATATATCAAGTGGGAAGGGACCAATAAGGATCGAGTCCAGTTCCTTGCTCCTCACAGGACTATCTAGAACTAAACCATATGACTAAGAGCATTGTCCAGATGCTCCTTGAACTCTGACATGCTTGGTGGGGCAGCCACTTCCCTGGAGAGCCTGTTCCAGGGACTGACCAACTTCTCAGTAAAGAACCTTCTCCTAATGTCCAATCAGAATTTCCCCTGACACAGTTTCATTCCATTTCCTCATGTCCTATTACTGGTTACCAGAGAGATCAGCACCTTCCCCTCCGTGGTCCCCCTTGTGGAAGTTGTAGACTGTGATGAGGTCACATCAGCCTTGTCTTCTCCAAGCTGAACAAACCTAGTGACCTCAGACAATCCTCACAAGTCTTGCCCTTGAGGCCTTTCACCATGTTGGTTGGCCTCCTCTGGACACACACTAATAGTTCGATGTCCTCCTTATATTGAGGCGCTCAAAACTGCGCACAGCACTCAAGGTGAGGCTGCACCAGTGCAGTGTAGAATGGGACAATCTCCTTGCTCATTTGTCTAGCTATTGCAGAAAATATTGAAGAAAATTACTTTCTTTGCATATGCAAAGACTATTAACAATTAAGGTCTCATACAAAAAAGTGTAAAGTATTCTTTCATAAAGATCTTAACCCCTTCCTATTCAATTTAATATGTTGCTTTGGACTTGGTAGCAGCCAGATGTCTTTCTCTTTCTGAAGCTACTATGGGAGGAGAGATGGGCACTGCAGTACTAAGGAAAAAAGAGTGGGTGCCCTGTGAGCATGAGGTGATTCATGCTGAGACAAAGACCTCAAAGGAAAGGCAACAAACACAAAAGAGGGAGTAGTAGTCCAGTGGCTGAGGTTTAGGCTTCCAAATTTGTTGTACAAGCCTGAAAGATGTCCTAACATATGAAAAACTGATACACGGGAGTCCTGTTCTTAGAGGGCAAGATTCTTGCTACATGGGTCAAATACAGTTTGAAAACAGAAAAGCAGCTGACAATCAGCTTAATGTCATGCAATTAAAGAAAAGAATTTCAGAACAGCTGCATATTACAGTATTAATATTACCTATAAATACAGGACACAAAGGCTATATTGATAGTTACAGATATTCTCTCAAAAACTTCTACAGATCAAGGAACACAGAAGTGCTGATTTTATTCCATCTTTAGACTGACAGCTGCCTAAATTTATTTTAGGAACAAGAAGCTACCGATAAACTGACACTTCTAAATAAGCACTCATGGACCATTCAGCCCAAGATTTTTTTTTTTTTTTAAACATGAATTATTTATGTCCATTTTCTAACTCTTAAAAGACAACTTAAAATGAGTTCTCAAAATAAGTCTTTTTATCCATGATTACACTCTTGGTGCAGCAGCGTAAAGCTTCTTGAGAGCAACTTCCTTTTCAACATTTCAGCTAGGTCAGCAGTTTCAAAAGTTATAGGTTATAACAAAATTTTATTAAAATATTGCGAAGTGAACAGAACATACTTATACCTACATCTAAGGAGCCCTGATGCTTTGACATCATTATGGGCACAAATCTACAGAAGTAAAATATACTTCACTTTTTTCTTTTTTTTTAATGAGATTGAACATTCAAAATTATCGACAGGCAGAGGATTTTCTTCCTTGGAAAGTATTGGTGCGTTAATGATTCCAAGCACTTACTGAATAAGATTAGAAATGAAACACCCAACTACTTAGCGGTTTTCTTTTTTTTTTTTTTTTTTTTTTCCTCCACCTCAGCAGTAATTTTTGTTATTTCCACCCCATACTTTGAAAGGGGAATGAAAAATTACAGGAAAAAGTATTTTTATCTAAATGAACTTGATCCAACATTCTGAAAATGTTTTTTAGTTCTTGGATTTTAACAGAATGAACCAGAAGAGTCTGTAAAAAAAAAATTTGCGTCTGTCTTTCAAAGTTTAATACACATAAAGATAATTAATTAGATTTTACATGACAAAGCAAGCTTCCAAGAGCCTATAGCTCTGCAAACTCAAGTCTAAAATGTATAGTAGAGTTTGATAATGAGTAAAAAACTTAAAGCTAAACAAAATTGAAACAAAAGTCACACAATTGAAGTTTCAGAGTCTCGTCTGAAGAAAAAAGCCTATCCATTCCTCCAAGCTATCACGCAGAATTCTTAGCTTTTAAATTTCTAGCAGAATCATTTCTATTTAGCACAACAGACTAACAATAATGATCTTACCCAAGCTCTTTAAAAACTCTGGGAATTTCCTCTTCAAATTTTGAGTCAGGCAGTTCGTAAGTAGGGCAGAGAAATCCATAGATAAAAGTGAAGATTTTTAAGAAGTCCTTAACCGATGGAGACTGTAGTGATTTCATGGAAACATTATGGGCATAACCATTTTCAGCAAGAAACTGAGAAAAAGAAACATGTTATGTTAGTCACTAAATAAAATCTAAAGTCGAAGCCATGAAAAATAAATATTTTGATTAGTATTTTTTATACCCAATTTAGAATAAGTTTATACCTATTTTAGAATAAGTTAATAAGTTACCTCACAAAGCTGCTTGATACACTGTTGGATAAATGCCTTGTCATGAAGTGGCCTGGGATCCTTGATCTTTTCTGTACCGAACACACCATACTGGCTGTTGCGTGAGCCTCCAGCCCCACTAGTTCTAAGAACAAAAAATGAACATAGTTCTTGTGAGTATACATATAAAAAAACCCCTCTTAATGTTTAAGTCACTACAGTTGCTACCTTTATATTTCGTTTCCATGTGTTATGCAAAGGGATGCCTGAAGATTTCTCTTTATTTAGGATAACTGGAAAACATAAACCTGGAAGCCATGATGCACACATACAACAGAGGGATTACTGTATCCTAAATGAATATTTTCTTAAATTTCTTGATAGAACGTTTTATAGAGCAGAAAAATAACCCAAAGATGAAGAAACAAAATGATGGAGGTGATTGAAAATAAAGACTAAAATATTTAAGGTATATTTAAAAGGAATAGATCCCTGCAACAGCGGGGTCCTATGAAAGAAGGCAGCTTCAAGACATCAGAACACAGCAAGCTGTGAATTTAGCTGAAAGATTATAGAATTTTTGAAAGTTTGCATCTTAGAGAGAAGAAACTCAGGCAGAGTGTACTCGAGATATTGTTCTTCCTTAAACAGATCTTAAGGTCTGCAGCACACATTATTCCCAAAAGGAAGAACAGCTCTCAGATCAACTCCTTCTCCAAAGAATTATTATTTAGTGATCAAAGAGTGGAGGAAGGCAGACCTTCAGGTCTGCTGGCCTCAGATCCATTATTTCCTATAACGAAAATCTGTCAAGAGAGAAAAATTACAAAATTATGTAGGGCTGTTACTGCCTTTTTTTTTTTTTTTTACAGTACAGAGATCTAAAACTATCAGTACCTCTTCCCAAAAAAGCTGACTTTTCTGTCCAAAGTTCCAGATGTAGGTTTGCTCATGCTCAGCTTCCCAAATGTACCTCTGTCCTTCCTGAGGGATAGGGAGAAGGATTCAAGTTACTATTTCTATCGTTTCATTTTTTGCTCATGTAAGAAAACTATAAATACATGCATATAAGCCTAGGAATCTTCAGCATAACAGCATCTTAGAAAAGTCAACTAATTTTCATGCATTATTTGTCCATTATCAAAACTACTTCTGCAAGAAGATTTGTAAGTATACATTTTATACACACCTGTACCTAGCCACCTGGGTATGTAAGAAATGTGTAAGAAAAAGTATTACAATTTGAAATGTGTCAAGGGTATACAAGTAGATTAATATTTGTTTGCAGAACTGCAGCACTTGTGTAAATATCCCTGGCTGCAAGGAGCCTCCTTCTCCCTGCTCCCATTCTTTTTTTCAGTTGCTACTCACACAAATACGCTACAGTGAACCTCTTCAGAGTTAGGTTTATGTACCTATTCTTAGCAAGATGATCAGCAATACTTACATCTGAGGTGTTTGAAGACCCATCTTGTTGTTGTCCTGCACTCTCAGTGCCATCATAGATTGCCGGCTACTGCTTCCGGCAGTACTTGAGCTTCGTCTCATTGTGATTGAACTGTAAATCACAATCTGCTGGTATTGGAAAATCCAGGATCTAAGAGTATTTGCTTTTGTAACCACCACAATGACTTTCCAAAGGGTCAGAATAATCAAGTAGGAGCGTACTTTGGACTAACCAGCCCGACAGAGTTTCCAGAAATATCAGGTTCTCTTAAAAAAAAAAAATTGCATGTCAAACTCCAGAACTACATAGCAGCAGCCACAGAATTTCAAATTAGCTATTTAATTGATGAAAGTGCCAGTGCTTGTTCCAAACCTACTATTTTGCTTTTACTTATATCTAGTTGTTTCTAACCTGCAGGTTCCATATGCAGAACAGCTTAAGAAGTCTCTCAGTGCAATCAGCTGGGAGAAAGGGCACACTAACATGACTACTGTTTGTAGCACTTCAGCCATTCATCTATTCCTTAGCCACTAATACTGAGCCTGGCTATTGATTCTGCAAATGATCTCACAGTAACATACCACAATAATTGGAAAACTTATTCTGAGATAATATTATTGCTATTTTCAGACAACACACACAAAATATAAATCAAACTAGAAGTACTGAACTGTCCCCACAGAGGTATTAAGTGGGATTTTGAGGTAAATAGAATTAACTCTGCAAAAAATGCCAACTTTTGCTCTCCACATAGGATCTATTTTATCTGTGGGGTGAGCTCAACTGACTGAATTCTAGCTAATAAATAATCCTCATTACAAACATTACCAAAACAACATTATCAATATAAACTGCGTTTCACATTCTAGTTCCACTTCTCAAAAACCACGACCGAGTTTAGCTTAGGGCCACTTCATAGGGCAGATTATCCATCACCTCATTTTTTTCTGGGGAAGAAGCTGCATTCTTCTGTTATTTTACCAGGGATCCACCACAGACACAGTAAATTGTTTTCCTAAACGTGCCAAACGACTAGCCTAAGAGCAGAGTTTACTAGAATCAACACGCCAGCAATAAAAATACAGGGGCGCGGCAGACCTGGGTGCAACTCCCCCCACTTACACTAGCAGCGTGTTTAAACCGTACCTAAGGGTACCAGTGGCGTTTGCACGCCAACAGCCCCCCCGCACCCCCCCCCCATCTCCGCCGGGCCCAGCCCCCTCACAGAACCGGCGCTCCCCCGGTGCGCGGCCGAGGGCTCCCGCGGGACCGAGCCTGCCGCCCACCTCACAGACGTCAGCCCAGCCCCTCGGCGGGGAAAGGCCGCGCCGCGGAGAGACCCGTCCCATCCGCCCAGCCGTTACCAGTAGCAGCGCCGATGCCTTCCCCTCAATTTCAAATCCGCCCGCCTACTACGTCACGCAGGGCGCCACGGCTCAGAGACGCAGGATAAGGCATGAAGGGAGGCGGGGCGTGTGTCGTCACTTCCGCGTGCCCGGCCGCTCGCCCACAAACCGCCCGATTTCCTCGGGAGCTCTTAGGAGTCGAAGGTTGTGGCCGTACAACAAGATGGCGGCGCCTACAGGGGGCGGGACAGCGGAGGTAAGCGGGTGAGGCGTTCTTGCATTATGGCGAGTCCCGGGGCTTTTCTGCGCCCGCAGCGAAGGACAGGGGCGGAGGGCAGCCCCCTCTCCCTACCCACCCCCGTAACGGCGTGTGAGCCTGCAGTCCCGCGCCTGGGCTTCAGCCGCTGCTCGCCTCCGGCTCCTCGGGGCCTGCTCCTGCCGCCGCGGTGAGAGGGCGCTGCGCCGCCAGGCTGCTCTTCCCGCCCGGCGGCGGCGGGACGGGGCGGCGGGGCTGGGGGCTGGTTCCAGGGGAAACCCCGAGCGTCAGCGGCCTGGGTGCCGGCGGGCAGGGACGCGGGGGCCTGCCCTCGCTCTGCCGCCCCTGTGCTTGTGTTGCTGCTTCCGAGTGCTGCCATGTAAACTCTGGGTCTGTAGAATTACTGTGTCGTAGTGCTGTTTTCTGATTTGTTAAAGGGATCGTCTTAACCTACGCTGAACAAAATTATAAACTTATTTACGAATTGCTTGTTATAAGAGATTGAAATAGGGGTGACACAGAAGGGGAAACAGAATGGGGAAAACAGCTGAAGTCAGAAGTTTCTATCGTGTGACTTGTGTGGGTGTGGAAGTGCCTGCCAGGAGATAGGTGCTACTTTGTTAAACAGTGATAGTTCTGAAAAGTGAATTCTTAAAAAAATTTCCACAGAAGGAGTTTCATCCAGGACCGTGTGTATGATTGCCAGCTGCAGTTTCAGGGAGTTGATTTTTCTTCCTGAAAAGGGGAGCTGTGATGTCTGTGGTACATCGGCTGACAGCGGGGTGGCTCGTGGATCATCTCTCTTTCATCAACCGGTGTGGCTATGAGATCTGTGACTCCTTTGCGTACCCTGGTGGTGTTAGTCTCAATACTTCTGTCACATCTACTGGAGACTGTTGTGCTACTAATACCTTTGCTGCCACCTCCTTGTTGAGAGATGGTTCTATTCCTGGTCCTGGAGATGAAATAGAAACAGAAGGTAAAACAGCAAAAATGACATACATGTTTCGGGAGGAGTTCTTTGACATTTCTAAGCCCCATATAGCTGCAGCTCCCGAGGAGCAGCTGTGGCGGGGGTGCCCTGAGGTGAATCTCACAGAAATAAAGGCTAACAGCAGCAGAGAGGAACACCAAGAAGGAACCAAGAGTGGCATCGGGGATTCTGTTGCCAGTGCTAGGAAGGTATGTTCTCTGTAATACAGTAAAATACAGTAACGCCCTGATAAATAATATACCACTAACATTGTCTTGCATATTTTGGTTTCCTGAGGTTATGTAGGAGAGCAGGAACTTTTCCACAGTAGATTTCAAGATGCACAGAAAATGTAAGCACTCATGAGGATATTCTTGTCCCTTATATCAGTAATGTGCGGGGGGTTGCTCACAGAATCTTCTGATGTAGGTTGTGGTCAGGCACTTGAGCTGAAACTGTGGTGGTTGTCATGATCGTACAGACTAACAAGGAGGGAAGAACAGTAAGAATTTATTTTCAATACGTCAGTTGTTCAGTAGTGTTCTTTATGGACCAAAAAAAGAGTTGCAGGTCTCAACCAACAAATGTAATCATGAAGATGCAGTTAATTTTCTCCTGTTATTGGTAAACTGTATTTGGCAGCTGAAAAAATACCTTCTAGTGTGGGCCTGCAGGAGGAATGAACATCAACTGTGGCATGCCCTAGGTACCTTCAGATTCCGGCGCCATGAGTAACATAAGAGCTTTAAGCCTGTGTACTGTGAGAATGCCTACAGTAGCCTAGGTATTCTGAGATCATGTTTTTGCTTATTGGACTTACAGTTGTGACATAAAAAGAAAGGGATGGAAAATTTCTCCTGCTTTTAAAAGAGTTAATTTGTAATTCAGGTATATTTGATTTCTTTTTTTTTTCATCATGGAATAATATGAATTATTTTCTTCCATTGTTTGCTCATTCTGCAGAAACGTAAAAGGAAATGTGTATTCAACCAAGGTGAACTGGATGCTTTAGAATACCATTCAAAGGTATGTCTGAATAAAAGTATATTTTACAAGTACATGATACCTGACTTTGGCATATATGAACTGCAAGACATGACTGCAAATGAGTTCTGTTCTTGTAGCTTTTCCACTAATAGGAAGGTCGTCTCTCTAGTCCTTTAATGAATAAGTGCATACAGAGAATGTCTTCTATGTAGATATATGTGAAACAAACTAGACATGAGACTGAGACGTTTTGAAGGGCTGGAAGCTGTGTTCACAAAATACCTTTTATTGTTAGGGATAACAGCGTTATATAGTGGTGAGTTGAATATTGATTGAACAGCAAGTGACTGATTTGAAATAAACAGCGTAACCTGTTCTGAAGATCAACTCATCTTTAGTATATCAGGATGCTGTGCTCAAGTTATTCAAAGCTTCTCAGACCAAATGTGCTCCAAGATGTCTCATTCTGCTAATGAGAGATATTTTTTTTCTCTCTAACTTTTTACACTGTTGTACTAAAGCATCATGAATGAATTGGAATTCAAGCCTTTATTTAGGCTCACGTCAGTGATGGACTGGTGTTGCGGATGAAAGTATTAGCACTGTAATGGTTTCAGCAGCAAATCAAGATTTATTAATGACTAGCAGCACTTAATCATTAACCAGTGTAAAGATTTACAACATAATTCAGTAGAGTATGTTATAATTAAAATAGCGACTTAACTGCAAATTTGAAGATGACAAGATTCACACTAACTTACTATACGGTACCTTAAATCAATACATACATGCATGTGTATTCACAAATACAAGACATATAGATACGCAAACAAACAAAAGCATTTGGATCCAGTAGAATAAGTATGTACTCACACTCGTGAAAATAACTGTGTATACCCAAACACATCGATAAGCAAAGAGAGTGGGTGAAAGAGAAGCTAGCTCAAAGTTAAAATTTCCCTCTTCTCGAGTTACGTTAAATACTCACCATGCATCAGCATTCCTCAGTGGGCGATAGTTGAGACTTGACCGGGTTGACTTCACCCTGGCCTCCCGTTGGCTCTGACAGTGGATGACACTTTAAGGTTTTTAGTACTTGAGAGGCGTCCCAGCTCAGGGAAGATGCTGGTCACAGGCCTGCTGCAATCCAGGGGAGCTCAAAGGGTCTCACTTGGGGTTGGAATTTATAGGATCCAAGATAATTGAATTCTGTTAGATACTTTTCACTCCAACCCAGCTTGGATGATGAGGTGTTCTGGTGTTTTGAGCTTGATGGATGTGCAATTCTGTTATTGTATTCCTTCAACCACATCCTGGGTACGGGTATGCCAGGCTGTCAGGAGGTGATGGACTGTTACAACTGCTTCAAAGCGATAGGGGAAACAGGAACCAGGCTCATCAAAGGGGCGTCTTAACGCTCTGGTTCCCTGCTGTTAGTAGTCCTTACCTCCCCGGGTTGGTATATAACCCACGAGGGGGTTGGAATCACACCAAGCACGGAGCAGCAGAGCAAGGAGGGGTGGGGTTGGGTGGGGGGAAGAGTGTATGTGAATTGCACCACCAGAACTGCTGAAGTTACAACTGAATTACACTGAAGCATGTTAGTAAATCCTAGAAGTGTAATCTGTGGATGATGTTTGATGCATTCTTACTGCTTATCTAAATGATGATGTGAACCTGAACTAGGACCTATACTTGCTTTCTTTCCTCTGACAAAGATGTTAGTCATATTGGGCTTTTTGCTTAATTCTGTTCCTCTTGGTCTATATTTAAACAACTAAACTTCTTTTACATGGCAACAGTTTTGTTGTAAACATGTACAGTTTGCTATGATACAGCATAGAGGTCCTGTAATTATTGTTGTGAATAAGGTATGAATGTGCAGAATCACCTTAAAGGAGAGAACTTTGAAGTTCAACATCAAACAGAGGTCTCTGAGTATGAAAACCTTTAAGCTAAAATAAAGTCATTCAACAGTAGGAATAAGGGAAGAAATGAAGTTTGACATTTTGGAGGCCTGTGTAACTTCAAATGTTTTTTTGGTGAATATGCAAAAAAGGCACAGTTTTGAAAAATCTGTGATCCTAGTGTTGTGGTTTAACTCCAGACAGCAATTAAGCACCGTGTAGCCACTTACTCCTTCATCCTCCCAGTGGGATGGGGAGGAGAACTGGGGGGAAAAAAGTAAAACTGGGCGGTTGAGATAGGAACAGAATAATAACTAAAATAAAATATAAGAACAGTAATGGAATGGAATATGACAAAAAGAGAGAGAAAACCCAGGAAAAGACAAGTGATGCACAGTGCAGTGCTCACCACCCTCTGACCGATGCCTGATCAGCAATCTGCCCATTCCAGCCAACTCCCCCAGTTTATGTGCTGCATGTGATGCTCTATGGTATGGAACATCCCTTGGGCCAGTTGGGCTCAGCTGTCCTGGCCATGCTCCTGCGCAGCTCCTTGTGCACCAGTTCGGGAAACTGAAAGGTCATTAACTTGGGAGAAGTGCTACTTTGTAACAACTAAACCATGGGTGCATTCTCAACATTATTCTCAAGCTAAATCCAAAACACAGCACTGTACCTGCTAATAGGAAGAAAATTAACTCTATCCCGGCTGAAATCAGGACACCTAGTTAACCTCCAATACTATTCACAGATTAGAATGCATTATGTATTAGAATGGGCTGCATCAGGAGAAGGGTGGCCAGCAGGTCAAGGGAGGGGTAATCTGCCGTGCTACTCTGCTCTGGTGAGACCCCACCTGCAGTGCTGTGTTCAGCTCTGGGGCTCCCAACATGAGAAGGACACGGATTTGTTTGAGCAGGTCCAGGGGAGGCCATGAAGATGATCAGGGGGCTGGAGCATCTCCCCGGTGAGGACAGGCTGAGAGAGTTGGGGTTCAGCCTGGAGAAGGCTCTGGGGAGACCTGATAGCAGCCTTCCAGTATTTAAAGGGGGCCTACAGGGAAGAGGAGGAGGGACTCTTCATCAGGGACTGTAGTGATAGAAGGAAGGGTAATGGTTTTAAACTGAAGGAGGGTAGATTTAGATTAGATCTAAGGAAGAAATTTTTCACAATGAGGGTGGCGAGTCCCTGAAAGAGGTTGCCCAGAGCAGCTGTGGCTGCCCCCTCCCTGGAAGGGTTCAAGGCCAGGCTGGACGGGGCTTTGAGCAACCTGGTCTGGTGGAAGGTGTCCCAGCCCATGGCAGGGGGGTTGGAACTAGTTGATATTTAAGGTCCCTTTCAACCCAAAACATTCTATGATTCTATGATTTTTTACTGTATTTGTAGTATTAAAGGTTGTAGCTCTGTAAATCAGTTCAGATTATTTTGTCACTTATTCATATCTTTAGAATTGTTTTCCAAAAAAAAACCCCAAATTTGTGTCTGCCAGTGAAAGTAGGCATTGAATCCATTATGAATTTCAGTTAGAGGCAACATAGGGAAAGTACAAAATATGCTAAATTCCTTCAGCAGTCATTTGTTAAAACCACTGTTTAAATTGCTTGATAGTCAAGAGGCTTTGTCCGCCTGGGAATTAACACATGCTTGTAAGAAGAAAAGCCATCTGTATTAATTTACCTGTACAACTTGTAGCCTTTGCAAAGATACATTTATTCTGTTAAAGCAGTATGAAATTTTACTATAACAAACATAGGTACTAGAAAATGATGACTGTTCCCTCAGATATCTAGATGGTGGCATTATTAAAGAAATTATTAAAAAATATTTCTTCCCTCCCCCCCATTCATTTGAAAATTCTAATAAAGAGTATATTGTAAAAACATCTTGTAAAGTTGAGGATTCCATAATCAGGAGCTTTAGAAACCATAATAAGTATTTGATACCTATGACAAAGCCACTGTAACTGACAATGTGGCTATTCTAAATAAAAAAAATGCCTCATTGATAACTAAAACTCATAAAGGCTCAGTGTTTTCAGAATAAACTAGGTCTCTAAATTTTGCAAAGGGAGGGTGCTGAAATGAATGAGAGTGTATATAGATCCAAGAATCTTGTCTTCCTGGACTCACTGGCAGATTATTTGAGGTGCATCACTTAGAAAAGTTGTAAAATCAAATTGTAATGATTTAATTTGATTTACTTATTGTACTTCTGTATTACTTCAAAAATGCATAATCTATGTTTTTTTGAAGTGAATTAAAATGTGGAAAAATACTGATTTTTAGATCCCAGTATACGTCTCAATTAAAAATATGTTTAGGGGCATAGTAACTTGTAATTAGATTATAATCTTAATTTATACTTCAAATTATTGCTTTGAAATTTATGTTTATTTGGAGAAAAAATATTCCACCTCTATTGTCTGTGAAATGTTTTATTCAGTAGTCTCTCACTCTTTCTCCAGGCCTCTAATTATTGTAACTTTACCAGAAAAAACAGCAACAGAAGTTATCATGGCCTTATTGTCATGCCCTTGTAGCTTTTGAGTCAATGGTCTCAGTATTTGGCAAGGATCCTTCTCCCTCTCTGCAGATTGAAAATGTTTTGATTTCTGTCACATTCCCTGATCAAGTAGATACTTGAAAGATCATTTCTTTTTCCCTTGTTTCTTTATGACCATGCAGGTCAGGAAGCTCATTTGGGAAGGCACTTTGCATTTAGTCCAAGAAGGACTCAAAAGCGGTTTTCTTCACCACACTACTGCAGAACTCAGTTGCAGGAAGAATGTTATTCCTGGACACATTGGCTGTGGGTTGGCTGAACTATGTGAAATGGCAAAGCAGCTTCCAGCTGTGAATGAAAGTGACCATCAAGCTGTACATGTGCTAGATGATGAAACCTCCATTCCAGATCAGGATGTGCTTTCATGTGTTACAGAAAACAGCTCAAACTCTGCAAAAATAGTTGTGTTAATGGGGCAGAAGTACTTGGTGCCACCAAAAAGCAGTTTCCTTTTATCTGATATTTCATGTTTACAGCCCCTGTTGAACTGTAAGTATCTTTAAACATTAGAATTTACCACTTCTCTCCTGCCTGAGAAAGGCAGTTAATGTCAAAGCGGCTAAGGACTCAGTGAACAGATTTTAATATACAGCATCACACTGATAGGAAATGCTGCTGCAAGCTTTCGAAGTGATATTTCTAACTTTGTGCAGATAGGTGAGGGTTTTCAAATGAACCTTGAGTGGTTAGGAGCTCAAGTCATTGTCTATCTCCAAGAGTCTCTTCTGAAAATACCAGCCAGAATATGACAGTTTGTGATCATGTTCTGAGCCACTGTCAGTATAGAAGTCATGTAAATGCTTTAAACTAGCTATGCTGATGGGTCCCTGTCCCACAGGATGAGGCTTTAACATAGATCAGTCCATGCTGCTGTTGAGGTGGTGTTCCTGCTGCCTTGGTTTTTAGTTAGATTAGACCATGGGAGACGAATGAGTTTATGCACCTTAAAGCTAGGATTCTCTTATGGATCCATCCTGTGCAGTGGCGGGGTGTATTTAGATTAGCATAAACTGATTGTGAAACCAACTCCAGTGCCACCCAGAGAGGATAACAGTTTGAGAGGCTGCTGCACCCAGCTGGAGGTGAACACTGCTTTAGCAAGAACATGAGTTGACTTCTCAGCTGCTGCATTTCACAGCTGAGAGTACTGGCTTAACCCAAAATCAGTGACAGGCAAATGGTGGGATTTTAGAGATAATAACTCCTCTATAAAAGTAAATAAAAAGCTATCCAAGCCAGTATCCCCAGCCTTAACGGGCCATGTAGAAAGCTTTAAGCTAACAACACGCGGCAGTCTGCACTGTACTTCACCAATCCATTAGCTTTCAATTTAACCTTTATTATTATTATTATACTTATTGTTAGCTAAGCTTCATCAGACAGTCTTACAGGAAAGATGTTGCTTGTGAGAAAGAGCTGGGGATGAATGTTCTACCCTCTAATAAATAATTTTAGAATTGTTAGTTACATATGTTTCCTCTCTTGTAATATACAAGTTTGATGTTCACTGATTTTTGTTTTTTTTTAATTAAGAAGACATGCAGGAGGCAGAATCTTATTATCTGAATAATAATAATTTTATATTTGAAGTCCAGAATTTAGCCAGTTATTTTTTTTCAAATGTATGATAGAAGGAAGATCACTATCACTGTGCTATCACTGTGCATAGCTATGCAAGTTTGGATTCTCAGAGGCCAGAGAGCAGTCCAAGAAATTTGAGAAAATGTTTTTGAAATATCCAACAGTGAATGTTAATATAATGCCATGACTTTAGATTTTTTTTTGTTGTTTTTGAGGAAGTCTACTGTCCATTTTAATTATATTTCTTCCCTTTCACCTGCCAAAAGAGAAGTATTTCATGCTGGTCAGCCCAGTGTCAGGATAACACCTCCAATGTTAATAAAGAGATAAGATGTAGAAAACACATTTAATAAATATTAAATATTAAGCTGTTGTTCTTATTAACTATTTAAATAAGTAGCATCATAATCAATGAAGGAAAACATATATTCTGTAGAAAAAATAAAATTGGAGAGTCCTGCTTTTTCATGGATGTGTCCTGTATTTTCTATCCTCAAATAAAGTAAACCTAGCTTCTCCCATGAAAACTCTTTCAGTTCTCTTTCTCTTGTCCATTAATTTCCATTTCATACACTGGGTGTAGCTCTCTGTCTCTCTTCACTTCCATTAGTGCAAACCACAGTTTTCCAGGTCTGCTTTGGAGCTCTGCATGTCCCAGTTGGCCTGCTGAAAGATCAAAGAGGACAGGAATCTTGCATTCAGGGCTGGAGCCTTTCACTCATCTGGGTGCTTTATTGCATAGCTTCTCTTAGGAAACTCGGAGAAATTTTCACCTTTGAGACTTACAGTCTGCTGTCAGTTTTTTTCTGGAAATCCCCAGGATGTTCAAAATTTCTTGGAGAGATCTTACAGATATCACATAAACGTCCTTTCCTTAGGTAATCAGCTGAAGAATCATGGAAGTAAATGATTATCTGAATTAAAACAAGCATGCTAGAAGCCTTTTAAATTCTTGTTTGGAAAGAACAGAGGAAAGTTGCAGTTTTGCTGCATAGTTGACTCTTTAAATGTCTGTATGTGGGTAGCTAAGCCTTTATCAGTTTTAACCAGTAGTTTTATTTTTAAAATAATTTACAGGCTTTTTTTTTAAATTTCACTTCCCAGACAAGAAAAACTATGATGTAATTGTGATTGATCCACCATGGGAGAACAAGTCCGTTAAAAGGAGTAACAGGTAAATTTTATAGTAAAATAAAACAAACTTTGTCATCTTAGCTTACAAAAGGTAATTAACATTTTAATATACTGATGCAGTTGAAGACCAGTATAATTGTGACACTGTATCTTAAACTAGAAAATGTTTTGGCATATGCCTACCTTCAAGTCTATGAAATGTCTTAGGGGTTTCACTGAAATGGCTGGGTTACTTTGCATACAAAATATTTGCAAGAGTAGATCTTAAATTACCCAACTGATGAGAGAATATTAGTCCTTGAGACTTACAAGGAAAGCCTGGAGTCAACTGTTTTGTGAGGCCCAGATCATGCAGATATCAGTTTGAAATAGGGTTATTTCAGTGGGAATAAAGCTAGATAAATGTGTATTTCCAGGACTGAGGTCCTATTCAAAAGTTTTAGGCTTTTTTTTTTTTTTTTTTTTAATTTGAGCTGTAGTTTGAACTTCAGTCTGATGGGTAGAAGAAAAAGTGATAATGCAGCAGTAAAATCCTTAAGTGCAATAGGAACTGAGTACTGTAGTTTATGAAGCCATTAACTTAAAATTTTATGGGCTCCCTTCTCCACTGAGTAACATGAAGCTTATGCCAGTGGAGATCTCTTGATTACCATAGAATTGTATTCATGTGAAAGAAGGGCAGACAGGAAATATGGCCTTACAACTTTCTAGAATAGCGTCTACTGTAGCTTTTGAATCTTGTTACGAAGTAATTGGAAGATGCAGAGACTGATTAGTAGGTTTTACTTTGAAAGCCCTGCAGAAACCTCTAGAAACTCAGAGTTAAACTCATTCAAGTGTTTATCTTAACTGTGTAAGTTACTCAGAGGAAAACTAGTTATTCACAAGCATGAATTAGCCAGCAACACCCTCTCCCTTACAAAATAAAATCAAAAGGTGGAATAGCTGTCACTGCTTTTAGTTACATAGTTGATGGCTGAACTTTGTTAAGCCTTTCACATCTGGGTTGTGAATCTTGTTTTCTCTGGGCAGTCCAGGAGGTCTTTTGGATTTTGTCCTTGTTGCCTGTTTCCTACTGTTGTCACTGTTGCACTGTGTACGGATCCCAGATACCAAGACGGTGGCTCTTGATTCCAGTAGGCAGCGTGCCAATGCTTTTGATGCTGCAATGTGTAAGTTCCATGAATTGCAGCTCACTGTGTATAACAGCATCATGAGAAAAATGATAGAACAGGACAGAGTCTGAAAAGCATGCTGTATTCACTGGTGTAGCATACAGTTAGCTCAGTAATGTGCAGAACTGTTCTGATACCATGAATGGTAATTTAAAAATAATAACTTCTGCAAATAATTGGAGAAGTGATTACTATTGTGTGACCTTTTAGCTTGCCAGTCAAATCAGTGTTGCCATTTCACTTGTAAATGACTCACTTGTTATTTTAATTCGGAAGAGATACTCCTTATTACAAAAAGTGAATAATGTTACATTGACTAAAGAGCTACTTTCCACTAAATAGCTTTGTTCTGGCGTATTGAGTTACATATGATAGTTCTTAAATTACACGTGGACTTTTAGACTTCTTCAGAATAACAACTCATAATACTTTATTTGGGGGAGTAGTAGAAATATGTAGTTAAAGGTTCTGCTCAGTAAAGTACATACACGATTTTATATCAGACTCTATCACATTTGGCCACTGGGTGTCAGTCTTGATCCATTCTTAGAACTTGTCAGGCAGTAAGTCTTCAAATGTCTTGGCTGTGTAATTTGTTTATCCACTTGTGTTGCTTTGTAATATTTATATTTGAGATATGTTAACTTGCTTTCTCCCTGTATTGGCATATAGATACAGCCACTTGTCTTCGTGGCAAATCAAGCAGATTCCTGTACCAGCACTAGCTGCTCCGAATTGTCTTGTGGTCACGTGGGTGACTAATAGACAGAAGCACTTACGTTTTGTTAAGGATGAACTTTATCCTCATTGGTCTGTGAAAACACTTGCTGAATGGCACTGGGTAAAAGTAAGTTCTCAATTTGTTTTGTTGCTTTCTTGGAGACTGAGAAGGCTTGCACTATGACACTTTATATTCTTACAATTTTTTTTTTTTTTTACTACCATGGTCTTTTGTATTTGAAAGGTATAGTACTATCAGTATCTTCCTTTTTATCAAATAAAATGTCTTGAAAAATTGGATATGATAACCTTCTACTGTGTATTTTTAACTTCTTTGTGTCAGATTACTAGAGCTGGAGAATTTGTCTTGCCTTTGGATTCTTCACACAAAAAGCCCTATGAAGTTCTTGTATTGGGGAGAGTTCAAGGAGAAGTAAAGGAAACCTTAAGGTTTGCCAGGTTATTTATAGTAAATGTCTTTTTTTGAGGCTGCTAGGATTCTCTTTGTATTTATCACTTGTTCATAATACAATATAATGTCCCAAAATCTTCTCTTGGTGTCATCTTTTGGCTGATTGTGGACCTAAAAATAGCCTTATTTGCTTTGGGATAAGATACTGATTTAGTGAGATTAAAGGATGGAAACCTTTATCTGTTCCTTATATCTATCTGTGTTGGGGAACTGGCGTGTACAAAAGCTTCATGAACTTCAGCTTCCTTTGCTGACAGGTTCTCTTGGACCATGAGTCCTTGGCACAGGCTGATGCCACTTTGGGGATGCTGGTGTTTTTCTACACATGAAAACATACAGGACTACATTATTTGTTCTCAGTGGCTTTGTATGGCTATTTTTAACCATATTTTGTCTAAAGCCTCAGTGCTTTCATAAACTGTCCTTTTATATATTATGGCTGAGCAACATTTAACTTCCCTTAGTTTAACTAAGTTTGACTGTGACTTAGTTTAAGTTTGACTGTGACACATTCAGTGTGTTATCTCCCATCTGAAGTATCTCTGTGAGAGCTGCAGCATTGTATTTGGTGGTATTCATTCTCATCCTTATTTTCTTGTTCTGATCTATATGACAGGAAATCTGAAGATGTACTTCCAATTCCAGAACATAAATTAATTGTCAGCGTACCCTGCAGTCTGCATTCACATAAACCCCCTCTTACTGGTATGTTTTATTTTGTTGCATAATGTTTCTGTAGGGCATTTGACTTGGATATCTAAAATGATGTACCTAGAGTGAGATACCTTTATATATGAAGTGCCTTAATTTCCCATATGCCAAGCAATTTTGCTCAACAGGACTTGTGGTTCCTCAACATTTCTAAAAATGTTGTCAGGCACCTAAGTCTCACTCTCCAAAAATGAATATGAAAAGTAGAACTTCAAGCACTATTGTGTGAGTATTTTGGGTAGACATGTAAAAAACCTTGCATTTTAAAAATTGTTTTTTAAGCACAGCAGGAACAGTTTACAGATACTGTATGTATGAAATTATACCAAGTGACCTAAAGTACTGTGCAGCAGGCAGGAGTGAAACTTTGGGTATATATAAAATATGATGTCTTCTACTTAGTTAATAAAAGCAGAAACCTTTTTCTTTATTATGTCATCCTGAAAGAAATGTTTTTATTTCTGCATGAGTTGCTTATACACCTGCAGTATAGTTGTGCCTTTACATCCTAAAACTTCATTATTTTAAAACTGTTAATGATAGGCAACAAATAAGAAATGCCCTGCTTATTTCTGAGGAGCTGTATTTAGTTTGCTGAAATTGATGCAGTAACTCCAGCCAGCCTATTAGTGTGGGTATGAATTCAACTTTTCAGAGTAAAGTCCAAAGGATGTGAGGACTGCCATGTGATATGTTACCTTTTGCACACTGTTCTGGAGAACTCTTACTTTGACTCATTTAATCAATAGAAAGTTGTACTTCTTTCATCATTGTAGCACCTGAGTGCCTTACAATGCTGTGGTAAGAAATATATTTAATACCTCTCACAAAAATAGTTTTATTCTCCCCCAACGGAAAAAGTCATGATGAATCTGCATATATTCCAGGTGCATATGGTGTAATCACATCAGAAAAGGCAGGTAGAAGAAATGCACAATGCTGTTGGAGAGGGGAAGCATCATAGTTTGCTTCACTGACATACTTTTCTTTATCTGTTCTCAAGGAACAGTACAACTTCAGTTAGGAAGATGATCTTGACAGTTATACGTTCAAGGAGGCTCTAAAATTTGTACTTTGTGCCTGTTTTATTAAATTAACATGCATATATATATACCTGTTCAAAAACTAGTAGAAGACACATACTTTGGTTAGCTAAAAATAATAATAATAATAAACAAAGGCAATTCTAGGAGAATCTTTTTGCAGTTCTGAAGCCACATCTTTAAGAATTAGGGCTACAGCAGGAAGTATGTGTGTTGATTTAAGGTAATGAATGGTAGGGTAGTGATTTGTGAGGCAGCCACCTAGGGCCTCTTCAGAAAACCAATACTTGGAAGCACACTCAGACAGAAAAAAGGAAACTTGTGAGGTATCTAAGGGTGTAAAACAGCAGTTTGCATGTATTATAGAGCATTCTATGCCAGAATCATACTCAGAACAATTCTTTTGTAGGGCAGAATCTAGAAATCATATTGGGAGATCCTTTATAAATGATGATTCTGAATGGGTTTTGAAATAAATTGTCTGTGTTAATTTATATATTTCTTGAGTCTTTACTTGAATGCTGGGATTTGATACCATTGTGCAGCATTTGTGTTTCTATTTGAAAAATGAATATGCTGCTGAGCATTATCAGTGATTTACAAGGCTTTTATAAATATCTATGTGTATCCTACAGTTTTGGCAGCTCCATCTAGAACATGGTTATGGAATTAAAAGATAGACCATAAGACAAAAGCTAACTGCTGATGCCCTGACTTCAGTGTTGTAAAAGGGTATCACTTTCATGACTGGACAATATTCTCAAGTGGTCAGCAGAGAGCAGCTGAGCTACATCCTAGAGTGGTTCAGAAGAAAGTTGAACAGAAACAGATTTGGCAATCAGGGAGAAGAACACTTTATTTCTTATTACTACTATAAAGGTTGTATGTTGGTACATATGTAGCCCCTTAATGACTGATGCTAACAGTTTATCTCTCTGGGGGAAGAGAAAGATGTAAATTAAAGTAAGCCATCAAAAAGAGATGTTTGGGTTCCTACAGTGCATTTAACCATGAAATTGCGACTGTAGGGGTTTTGGGTGATGCATGTGCTGTGTTCAATGCTTAGAGCTTTAATGTGTCATTGTAAATGTACTTAAGCTTTTTTATGCAAATGTGTTAAATTAAATTTTATTACTCCTGGTTTTCATTCAAATAACAGCAGGTTTTCTTCCTAATTCAATTCAATGTTGCTCTTAAAAGACATAGAAGATATTCTGCTACACAGATGATGTGGAGTAATGTAGAACTTCAAACACCTTTTTTCATTTTCCTGTTTTATAGGTTCTTCTTGTTATAGCCATTTCTCCTCCAGTTTTTAAGAATGTACATTTATTGTTAGAAAATAATATTGTCATATAAGAGTATGCCTAAAAACATTGGAATTAATTCCTGGCCATGTTCTAGCCGCTTTGCATATCTCCAGCAGAAGAGTGGAATGGGAAATCTTGGGAACTCTCTTCTCCTGTAACAACCCTGGTTTGTTAGACCATGTTACAAAAGTGTTCTTGGAAGTAAAAGAAGTAAATGCCTTTTATTTCCTTATGCATCTTGTGAGCCCTTACTGTTAGACTAATCAATAGGTGCATCAACATCTAGATTTAACTTGAGGCTCAGGAAAGATGCAGAGATGTAAAGGCATCTTTGTGTTGAGTTTCAGATCTTCTGGTCCTACTCTGTTCAGGGATTAGACAAACTGGGCAATAAGGACCTCTACATTGCAAACTCTTGAAGGGTTACTATGAAACGAATACAATCATGTGCTTTGTGCTTTACATGGCTCACAAATCAGACAGTGAAAAGCTGACATTCATTTTCACTTCATGTATCCAATTTGCTATGCAGAACTTGCTGTTTAGGTAATGGAAGTTCAAAAGATAAGGGGAAACTGTTGCTTGTTTCAAAAATGATTCTTCCTTTTGCTTATTTAAACATTTTATCAGTATGCATCTTCAATATATTTCTGGGATTAAGAGTAGGCAGGTATGGCAGGTATCCTGCCTGACTGCTGGAATCTGCTTCAGAAGGAAGTGGGTTTTCTGGAAGACCAGTGTTATATCTACCAGCGGGCTTTGTGCTAGCTTCGTGTGTCGTAGAGCATTAGATGCCCAAGTGTAGGTGCCTGAGTTGCTGTCATTGTGTTTTTGACACATGCAAGTGATAAGGAATAATCTATTTATCAGATATTTAAGCTGTTTATTGTCAATGGTATCTGTAAGTGGATAGAAACAATTGTGTTTTGTTTTGTTTTTTTAAATTTTATTTAATCTTTTCATATGGTTGAAAAACTTAATATTTAATCTTTCTGCTGATGTAGATCCTCTAACCTCTTTTCAGAGGAAAAAGCTCCAGAATTTGCTTAAGGGCTGCAAGTCAGATCTATGTGTGTTAAGATAGCCCCTTCTGGTGATATAAAAGCCTAACAAAAACAAAATAATTTGTATCTTGAACACTGATTTTTCCTATTTTAAGGAAAGCAGTGTAATGAGATTTTATGCCAACAAAATGCAGCCACATTATTGCCCTCTTGATATGGTAATTTCCATTGCAGTGCAAGTTACTGCCTGATGTGATTATGTAAATATCTACAACCTAGCAGTGAAAAATCATACTACAATGTGATCTTGAATTACATGTAATCTGTCTGTTTTTAAAAAAACCTCTGACTTTAAAAAAGACCATCTCTCTGGCAGCAGGAGAGGGGGAGATTCCTGGAAATTAATTTTTAAATTCTATTACCAAATCAATTGAAAGATTGGCAGAAGCTTCCTGCTTCTGCTGAACTGATCCATTTTTGGCTACCTCTTTTTTGTTTTCTGGCAAACTAATCTTTGAGGATGGTTAAATGTCCTAAGTGTGATTTTAAAATTTATTCTCTTAGGCATGGAAGTTTTTGGTGCTTAGTAAAACTGCTTTTGATTACTGGACTTAGCACAGTGATGACATTTTTAAGAACTAATGTCAACATTACTAATGTGTTCTTAGTGAAATTTTGTCACCTAAATAACTGCTTCCTCTACATAGAAGCCTATATAGAGCATAAAATGGTTCTATTTTGTTTTTTTTTTTTTTTATGAGGGGGAAAAAGACATATAAAGCCTAACTCTGCAGTAACCTCTGCATGGTCTTATGCCCATTAGGATCAAAAAGATATCCTACAGATGTCAGGATCTGCTCACAGAGACTTTATTGAAAGCTTTGGAACTTTGCTTTCCACAGTCTCTCCTTTCTCTTATGTGGAAAAAGTGCAACCTCTTACAACATGGGCTTTCTTAGATGCTCAAGAGAATAGATTTTTGTAAGACCTTTGTTAAAGTCATACAATCATAGAATGGTTTGGGTTGGAAGGGACCTTTAAAGGTCGTCTAGTCCAAGCCCCTTGCAATGAGCAGGAACATCTTCAGCCAGATCAGGTTTCTCAGGCCCCCATCCAGCCTGACCTTGAATGTTTCCAGGGATGGGGCATCTACCACCTCTCTGGATGAAACCTGTTCCAGTGTTTCACCACCCTCATCATAAAAAATTTCATCCTTCTATCTAAGCTAGATCTACGCTCTTTTAGTTTAAAACCATTATCCCTTGTCCTTTTGCAACAGGCCCTGCTAAAAAGTTTGTCCCCATCTTACCTGTAGCCCCCCTTTCAGTACTGAAAGGCCACTATTAGGTCTCCCACAAGCCTTCTCCAGGCTGAACAACCCCAACTCTCTCAGCCTGTCCTCACAGGGGAGGTGCTCCAGCCCCCTGATCGTGTTGGCAGCAAATTGTGCACAAGAGATCCTTAACTAAATAGAACATGGAAAAAGAACATTAAATTTTACCATTTTTTTTTTTTAATATGGTGAGTTTGCAAAATGGTCTAAAAGTAACTACTGATAAGTGGTGTCTAATTAGATGAACTCCCATGACACCAAACAGCAATGTTCAGTGCAGCAAGTTTTTTGTCAGAATGTACATTTTCCTCTAAACCTCCCAGACTCTTCTCTGTAAATGTTAGATTTGTTTAAACATTTTAGCTTGCCTCTAAAAGAAGCAGGTTTTTAGAATAAGTTTCCTGCTGGTAGCAGTATTTTTTAGATTAAAAGCTGCCTTGATGATAACCCATCTGAGACATTCATTTGACATTTGTTAAAGATTGGGGGAAGGAGAATAGATTTACATGCCATTCCAAAATACAACAAAATCTGGAAACACCCATTACAAAATATTTACGAAAAAATTTCGAATGGATTGAAGCTTTGGAAGAGGCGATCATGTAAGTAGGAAATGAATCTGGGGTTGCTTAGGAGTCACTAGAAAATGAAGTGGATGCTCATCTTCCTGCAACAGGAGCAATCCATGACAGGATCAGCTGGGGTCTCACATAGGGAGTCTGTGACTGGTAAACTTAATTCAGAACTCGAATTGCACCAAGAAAACCCCAAAGACATTCCCTCTCATACTTTGATGTATGCGGATCGGATATATTTTTGCTTTCTGCAGTGATCATATCTGGAGAGACTGAGTCAAGCAACATAATGTTGGATTTATGGGCTGTATTTTTAAGCTACAGAAATTCATAAACCACTGGGATACCTGATCAAAAATGACCAAGATATCCTTTGGAAAAGGAAATGGTTTCATAGTTTTTCTTCTTTTGTCCTCAGTAACAAAAATAAAAACTTAACATGTAATTTTTAATATAGTTAAGCTTTTCAGTATTTCTGCCTCCTTTGTGTTCAGTACTCCTAAAACCTTTGATTTTTTCATGCATATTATTATACGTAATATCTTTGTAGCTATTTCCTGAAACTTAGTTAAGAATTTGACCTAGCCACAAACTAAATGGCTCTGTATGACAAGTAATGTGTTTAACAATAAACTGTTTGCAATAATAATTTTCAGGTGAAGTGCAAGATCTTTTTCTACCACTCCAAGAATACCAGTCATAATCAGTGACACAATTGATGTTAATGACCGGCATCTATTTATTTGGATTTAAGCAGTAAAAATACCCAATTGTTGAAGAAATTTGAGATTTATCTTACTGAATGAATGAACACAGTTATATAAATATTTCTTCAGTTGCCAATTTGATGTTGGGGAAAAAGAAATCCCTGCATTTTTATAGCGCTTTTAGTGCTATGCTTATTTAACTCTTGTTTCTTATGTTACCTTTTAACAGTTGTCATCAAAAAAATGCTTTTATACCCTTTAAGATGCAGAGAAAAAGAGTGTGATCTTAGTTAAGGAAAAGTTTTATTTATCTATTTTTAGAAATGTTGCCTCTGTGTTACAGAAGCTAAATGAGTCTTTATGAGATGCTTGGTTGATATTAGTGAAAAATTCAGAACTCATCTATGTAGAGCCTGAAATAAATCCTCATTCCTGTTCTCTAAATGAAAACCAATAAATCAAGGCTATTGAAGGCCTTGCGAGTATTGTTCAGTATCTCAAGGGCACTTATTTAAAATGACTTTCTCACTATAAATAGTCCAGCTGTTTGATGAAACCTCTGAAACACCCTTTTTTAATGAAACTTTCAGTTTTTTACCCACTAGCAGCACAGGAGAGGTTTTATTTGTTTACTATGGTTATTTGTACCTTTGTCACCATTCACCATTATCTTTTTTTTCTCTTGCACAGAGGTTCTGGCTGAGTTTATAAAGCCAGATGTAGAATGCTTGGAGTTGTTTGCTCGCAACTTACAGCCTGGCTGGACCAGCTGGGGAAACGAGGTTTTGAAGTTTCAGCACATTGATTATTTCACTCTTCTGCAGAATGAAAACTGAGTTGGGTGTTGTAGCTTAATTCTGAAATTCCGCACCTTCCCAGCAGGCTCTCAAAGTTGTCTTTATTACTGATGGTGCACTCAGAAGGTAACAGAAATAAAACCAACTGCACTTCAGTTAAAATTCTTGAAGTGACAGGATATCTATTTAATGGTATCTCCATTTGTATGAGCTGGTCTATTATTTTGATGATCTTGAGATATTTAAATACCAATGTTGGAGTGTAAGTCCATCTCTGTTTTTATGAAACCTCAAGAAAAGAAAGATATTTTAAACTATTCTCACTGCAGCTATCAAATCTGAGCATCATAATTGCTATAATGTTGCCCTTGTATTATTTTCAAAGAATGATAATATATTATTTTTAAAGAGTGGCAGTGGAAGTAAACAGTTCTTAATTACATGTTTCCTTAAAGAAGACTGTTTTTTACAAAACAATGGATTTTGAGCTAAAATAATTTCGAAGGCAGTGTATCCTCCTACATGTTTGTGTCTGTCTGTCTACCTTGGAGGAAATTAAAGGAGCAGTGCTTCTGTTAATTGGCAAATGAATTGCTGACTGACCACATTCTGTGTGAAATCGCACATTTAAAACAGTCAGGAATTCCATTTTTCTGTATATGACATTCATTCTTTGAATACATTGTAAATGATCAGTCTCAACATCTTACAAATTATGCATATGAAGCTGTTAGATTTAACTGAAATTAACAGATTATAAGTATTTCAAAAATTTTCTTTCCTTATGTTGCAACATGAAAAAGCCATGCCAGTGAGCTGTTTTCTTCAGCTAGCATAAAACTGATCTCTCTCTTTTTTTTTTTTTTTAAGAATGATACACTTTGTATGTCCTTTGCTGCCCTTAGATTTGCTTTGAAAAATAAAAGAATAAGACTTAATGAAGTCTCTGCCACTTACTCATTTGTAGCAGTAGAGGCAGAGCTGCTGGACAAGATGATTTTCCTGATGGCAAGCTGCTGAGTTCTGACTCTTAATAACTGGGAACAAAATGCATTGCATTATTTCCTATACATTTATTTCCCTTTTGGTAATCTGATGAGCTGTGAAGGTTTTTAAATTAAAATTTAAAATTTAGCAAATTATTTAAAAATAATTTTCTAATAAAAATTAAAATAAAAACTTGTGTCTTATTTGCAGACCCAGTTTCTCTATTACTGTTCAATTTCATGTTTTGCCTATTGGAGCAGTGGAGTTAACAGAACAAGGAAAATGCTTTTTTCTTTCTTCTTTTTTATCCTTCTGCTAGCAGTTAACCATATACTCAAAATAGGTAAGTAAAGTAACATTGAAAGTAGTTACCAGGCAAAACACTTCTTGCTGCGTGATTTTATTAGCCTACATTTTAAACTGTTAGTACGTAAGAAACCTTACCTACAACTATAAAGGATAAGAAGGTTCTTTATTTGCTTTCAGTTTTACAAGACATTCCCTACCTGGAGCTTCTGAGTTCCCAGGCAGAATTCCCCTGCCCTTCCAAGATGGTCTCATCCAGTACTAAATGAGTGTATGAGACTCCAGTATGGAATAAATTATAACTGCTGCACATACCTTGTTTTCTTTTCCTTTGTACTATATAAAACAGCACAAGAAATGACGATATTGTCAGTTCCACATCCGCTGCTACAAATGGCTCTAGATTACCTTTTAATTGCAAATAAAGGAAAGGGATGAACAATCTTAGAGATCAGGAAACCTCCTTTCTCCTTTGAGCTAAGCAGCAGGACCCTTCTAAGGGAACGACCTTTTTCAAGGTGTTTAAGAATGACCTATTTAATTTGTCTTTTCTGTGGAGTCCCTTTGCATGTCACAGCCTTCTAGCCCTTACTCTGCCTCCTGAGTTGCTGCGCTCAGAAGCTGAGCAGCTAATTCCAGGAGCTGGGAATGCAACCTCCTGAGTATGGTTTGTATGTAGAGGGCGTGTGCAGGCAGGCTGTAAGCTTCTCAGACTGGAAATCAAAATTTGAAGATTGGAGTCTAAATAATACCTGATCCCGTCATAAATAGTTACAAAACTGTGCCCTGGACAGCTGTTCGTTCTGCTACCTTTCCAGTGCTCTGGCTATGAAGAAAACCTTGTGAATATGACAGAAGTGGTGTTCTACATCTGCAGCCAACCTGAAACTACTGAGTCTTCTCAGGAGGATCAGTGTATCTCAGTTTGTTTCTAACTCTGAAATCTCATGGTGGTAGTAGCAGTTGATAGTTTCAGGCTCATCTTTTAAACATAATTATTGGCCTGTTATGCTTAATTCATAATTTAAATGGCCTCTTACACTTTTCTAGCTGTCCAAAATCCCAGCTGTCCCCAACCAGCCATTAAATCTTTCAGTGTCAGTCAGATGATTCCTCTGAGGCAGAATCTGAAGCGTATTGAAAAATCAGTGACAAGTGAAGCCAGCTAATATGAAAAGACAATTTAAGATCCAGTTTCCCTTTAGAAAAGAATAATATTATCTACATCAGTTGCTCTATATTGTCCTCTGTTGTGTCCAGCCTTGTACAAAAAAGAAAACCTGATCTGAAGAGTATACAAACTTGGTAAGAAATGAAAGAACAAGGGAGAAGGTAAAGATAGAAGAATACAGGATAGTAATGAGATGTTGAGGTGAATATGGTAAGTAGAAGCCTAAGTATTATGCACATCTTCAGTGTTCCTAGGAAATGACAGGTTTTTTTCCTCCAATTTTTAAAGAGATTTTCTGCTTTTCCATTTTGGCATATCAAAATTCACACATTTCAAGGAAAAATAGGTGAAGTGGGTATTTTACTAACAACATTGACAAAAAAGTTTTTTCCAATTCTAAATTCTTTTTGTGGCAGTTTGGTGAAGTGAGAACT